CAGTCAGCCTTCTTTATGGTCCAGCTCTCACTTCCATACATCACTACTGGGAAAACCATGTGGTTGCTGTTGTTGTTTAGTCTTTTAGTCGTGTCCGACTCTTTGTGACCCCATGGACCATAGCTTTAACTATACGGACCTTGGTTGGAAAGGTGATGTCTCTGCTTTTTAAGATGCTGTCTAGGTTTGTCATTGCTTTTCTCCCAAGAAGCAGGCGTCTTTTAATTTCATGACTGCTGTCACCATCTGCTTTTTGGAGGACTAAAATTCCTTGGTGCTTCTCAAACTGTGGGTCGTACAAAAAGGAGGTCCCCCCCCCACTTTCCCAGGATAAGTAGCCACCTTAAGAGAAATGCTTACTCTCTTGCTTGCTCCATATATGCCCTACTTAAATCATATACAGAACATGATTACAGATTGTGTTTGAACTAAGTACAACCATGTTGGTTCTCCGGTGACATCCACACATTCCTGGTTGCTGGGATTGGTGTAGTGGTGTGTGAGGCACCTAGCCACTAATCTTTATTTAGGGAAAGGATTATTGGGATGTAACAGAGTGGGTGAGGATCAGCCTTTGGTTTCATGGACTGTTCTGCTTGGAACTCTCTGGATTGCTTGGGAAAATGGTCCCTGAGGCATACCACAATATAATGTGTCTGAGGCATGCCAATATCATTGTAAGACAAGTTGAAAGTATTTTATTTCATTTCACAGCAGTGAGGGAGATGAGCCTAAACGTTGGGAAATATAAAATCTAAGTTGGCCGTATTTGGATTGCTTATGCTTATTCCAGATGCTTCTCTTGTTTTGTGAACAACAATCACATAATAACATAAACGGTCTTTGATTTTTCCTCTTCTGTATTTGAGCCTGGCACTTGCTGGGGATACACAGAGAAAGTACCTAAGGAGGAATGTCTTCCAATGCAGCAACTTTTTCTGGCTTTGCAGTACTAGCATTGGAGCTTAGCATAGATAAACTCTTGGGAGGTGGGTGAGACACAAGCTGCACCCTTGGAATAAGCCTGCTATTGGAAGAAGAAAGCTGGACTCTGGAGTGGAAGCAAGGCAAGCATCTCATCTCATGAATCCAGCTCTGATGTGACAAGCTCTGGCGGCCTTTTTGAATTCACCAAGCATTCAGCCCTTTTGTGCTCAGTGTATGGAAGCCCAGGGCACATCTGCTGTGCCCCTTTTATCACTCACAAAGAACTTGGAGGCCCAGCTTGACAGCTTAATTAATGTGCATGAGAGACATTTACATTGAATAGCTTTCAAAAGCAGAATCTTGAAAAGGCAGGGCTCTCTTTTCTAGGATCTGAATTGTGTTCTTTGCAAGGCACACAACTGCTCTGGGATTTTTATCCCCTCCCTGTCTTGGGCTAACCCTTGCCTTTCCAGTCAATTTCAGTCTGAGGCATTGTTCATATCCTATCCTGGTTGCTTATGTCTTCAGGGAGACCAAGCCTCATTGTGTTAATTTTACTACATTGTGCAGTAAAATGACTCCAACTGAGCTCATGGCCTTGTCTCTGACCTGTCATTGAATTGGTAGCTCTTGGTGTTGCAGGGAGATTGCTTGGTGGAACTCTTGATTTTTTTGCTCTTCACCTCCATCCTGTCCTCTCGATTTTTTGTCCAGTACAACATGCCATAATCTGTCCAGGGGAATGAGCAGAGCTTTAGAATAAAAAACAAACAAAAGGAAATAAATCCTCAAAATTGTCAGGTCCCTCTCCGAACTCTTAGTATAAAAATTGCACAATGTCCTTACACTTTCAGACTATTTTGCCCTGGTTGTTGCATTCATTTATTATACAGGAGCCAAGAGGGCAGTTTGATGCTCGGAATAAACTAAAATGAATTACAAGAGTGCCCACTGGAGTTACCAGAAGGAAGCTGTGTTTGTATGCTGTGACATTCTGTGCTTGTATTCTGAATGCTTACCTAGTGAATGCTTGCCTGTGGGGCAATCTGAGGTTGTGAGGGTGAATGTGTGTGGTGCCCACAGCCTGGTGCTCCTTTCCAACTGAGGAAATGAATGTTCATTTCCAGGAAGCACTCTTTTTTGTACTGTAGGAATAACTGAGATTGATGTGGTCCCAGGATTATATTATTTAGAAGCCCCAGCAATTAGAATTTTGTTCTTTAAGGAAAGTGTACCTATGTTTGATCTTGCTACTTGAGTAACCACTTATACTCAACCTCATATTAAAAGGAGAGAGCCTTCTTTTCTGAACCACTCAGGGTAGGATTCTGGGCCTTCTATGGTGTAGTACAGTGGTACCTCGGGTTAAGTACTTAATTCGTTCTGGAGGTCCGTACTTAACCTGAAACTGTTCTTAACCTGAAGCACCACTTTAGCTAATGGGGCCTCCTGCTGACATCGCACCGCCGGAACCCGATTTCTGTTCTTATCCTGAAGCAAAGTTCTTAACCTGAAGCACTATTTCTAGGTTAACGGAGTGTGTAACCTGAAGCGTATGTAACCCGAGGTACCACTGTATGTTGAGCTTTAGAATTCAAGATGAGCCTTGAAATATTAGAATGGGATTTGGTACATTGCTGAAGGCCCAGATTAAAAGAACGAACCCATCTTGATCCCTGCACCCATTTCCCTGTCAATAGATGCGAGACAGAAAGCCGCATGCTGTGTTTGATGACTCAGGCACACCACTTTTTATTCTGGAGTGTTCTGAACACTATTGTGCATTTTGAATGTGAACCCCAGTTTAACCCAGCACCTGTCTTCAAAAGGAAGGGAATGCAAGATGCATTGCATCATGATATGTTTCAACATATATTTAGACCCTGTCAAGTGAACTTTCCAGGTCATGTTGTTCTTTCCAGTAACTACCAGCCCTTGTTTCTGGAAAATTCTGATACTTTTCAAGTTTTACGTGTGAATATAGAACAAAATAGAAATTTCACAGTTGCGCACCTAAATTGGCAACGATTCAGTAGGGCAAAAAGACATGTAGGCCTTGACTACTGGCATTCAACTGCATTCCGGGCTTGTGTTTTATGACATTGCTGCACTATTGCATTTATTCTCACTGATTCCTGAAATATATTTATGAAATCTTAGTCAGATTTCTTTGAATACTGCATATAAGACAGCTTGCTCTGCCACAAGAGTGCTGTCATAAAAATAACAGGACATTTAGCTAAAACCAACATCAACATTTGCTGAAACAGTTGAGTTTTCTCCTGCTGCCTCGTTGTGAATTCAGTTGTGGTTCTGCAACATGCTTGGTGGTCATGGACGTAGCCTTCCGATAGTTACCTGGAACAGAGGTTCTCCATATGTTTTAAGGGTTTGGAGAGAGCCCTACTGGAGAAGGCACTTTGACATCAAAATAATTTCTTAGACACTCAGACATTATGATCCACAGCAGCTGCAAACACTGCTGAATAGATGCTGCAAGACAGAGGTGAATCCTCTTCCTTCCTTTCCTTTTGACAAGCCATCCTGACAAAAAAGATGCTCAGGGCTGCTTTTCCTCAGGCCATGATTAAGTGGACTAGCGTCTGAATAGAGTATTGCCAAAACTGTTAACCTTAAACTGTTGACAGAATAAATTATTCTGCTTGTTAACCTGTGCCAGCATGTGATTAACTTGTTCAGCCCACAGTGCACCCTGAATGGGTTGTTAAGATGCTTAGGAAGAGTTTGGATTGACTTGGAATCTACAGTGGGTTATTCATTTTATCTTGTTTATATAAGATTAATTAGTATTAGGGGCTAGGCACTGTTCTCCAAAATTTCTCATAGTTGATGCACATCTTTTTCCTGAATTAATATTGAGAACACATTTTACAGTTTCAAAAGTTTACCTTTAAGAGTGCAAGAGTAAGAACGACCTACTTTTAGAGGAGCCCACTGTGATGTTGCTGTATAGGGTATATAACCTTTGAATCCATTGTGCTAAACATATGTAAAAAAGCAATTAATGAATATAGGTAGTTGGGACAACATATACTTTTGCAAACATCCTTATACATTATCATTTGAAAACTAAATATGACAAATGGCTGAAACAGCTTTCACAAATACTAACTAGCTGCCTAAGGGGCACCTTAAGGAGGGCTGGATATGAGAGAAGATTGCTGACAAACCACAACTTGAGAATTAAGCAATACATCTGCTAGGGAGATAATATAATTTACCATGTGGGAAAAGTTTCTCATGAATGGACATATGCAAGCATAAGAGGTTAAAAAAATAGGTTGGAGGAATTCCCTCACTGTAGCATATGTGCAAAACAAAGAAAACTGAATAACGCTATTGCAAACCTTGCACATGCTAGGCACTGAGTGCATGAAATGTAAATGAAGCAAAAGCCTGTCACTGGTTAGGGTTCAGCTTTCCTATAATCCAAACCAAAAAAACAGGTGCCTACTCACCTTACTGAATATCAGTAGGGAATGGCTACAGGTAGTGAGGCATTTCTTTGCTGTAATGAAGATTAGGAAGTTCTTGAAATTCAGGTTCTTGCTTCTGCAGAAGTCCCTGTTCTGCTGAAGTCACAGATCTGCTCCAGAGGGCCAGAGGAAACCCCACAACAGATTTAGGGTGTGTGTGGTGGAGGTAGGGAGGGGGGGAGAGTTCAGTTACACAAGAGTAAATCCTTGTGCTGCCCGAATGAGATACAGTGGTACCTCAGGTTAAGTACTTAATTCGTTCCGGAGGTCTGTACTTAACCTGAAACTGTTCTTAACCTGAAGCATCACTTTAGCTAATGGGGCCTCCTGCTGCTGCTGCGCCGCCGGAGCCCGATTTCTGTTCTCATCCTGAAGCAAAGTTCTTAACCTGAAGCACTATTTCTGGGTTAGCGGAGTCTTTAACCTGAAGCGTATTTAACCTGAAGCGTATGTAACCTGAGGTACCACTGTATTTGGATATTTGCCCTTGTGTCCCATCTTTTAGGAGACAAATGTTTTCAGCATTTGATGGAGTCACTGATTCTATTTTCTTCTTTCCTTCCTTTCTCTCCACAGAAGATGATGTTTGCGTGTTCAAGTGTTCTGTGTCGAAGGAGACGGAATGCAGTCGAGTGGGCAAGCAGTCTTTCATTATTACACTGGGGTGTAATAGCGTCCTTATACAGTTCGCAACGCCAAGTGGTACGTACCACCAGATTTGTGTTTGATTTATGTACGTCTGCTGCTCAAGGGGCTGTGAAACTCCAGATTGTTTCCTTAAAAGCAACTTCAGGAGAAAATAACCTTGCTGGGTTCAAGACGGCACCAGATACATTTTATATGGGCAGCCGTCTGATCTGCAATGCTAGTGCCTTGACTGTAGGGTGCTATGTGGTCTCTGACTTGCTCGTTGCTGAGGATGTGAAGGTTTATACAGTCAGAGGGCAAGATATTATGTTAATAGCCCACATAGGTTCAACACAGCATATGAGACAATTGCCCCTCTCCTTTCGCTGCCATCCTAGTCTCCATCCCCCAGAAAGTGTGTTGCCTGTTAGTTCTCCAAGTTCTGTGTTGGGTCTGAACAGTGACATTTGAATACTAAACAGGCCGTGTTTGACTTTTCTTTTAGACTTCTGCTCATTTTATAATATCTTGAAAAACTGTCGGGGCCACAACATTGAGCAGTCTGTGTTCAGTGAGCGTACAGAGGAGTCTTCTGCTGTGCAGTACTTTCAGGTAGGTGGGTGAGTTCAAGAGCTGATGCTTTTTTCTGGTTTGTCACCGTAAGTTCCTTGTGTTCATTTCCAAATGTACGTCTCTTACAAGTTGGAGATTTTTAAAGCTCCTTATTGGTAAACAAGGGACTTCTGCTAATTGAGTGTGTCTGCTTGTTTGTTACTCACTCATTAACTTTTTCAGCTGTTGAGGTAGGGATTTGGGGAGGAGGCTTGGAATTCTGGGAAACAAAGCAAAAGTTGCATGTTAAGGGCTGAATGATAGGAGGATGAGCAGAACTTTGTCTATTTGGAAACCTCCATAGATTCTCGGTGTGCTGTAAAGCATTCAAAGAACTGGCCAAATTGTGGGCACAGCTTTCTTCAAAATCACGAGGTCATGGGCCTTAATTGCAACTGTGCAGATTGCTGGATGCATGTCCTAGTCATTGTCAGAAACTGGGACAGTGTAGTGTCAAGAGTAGTTCTGCAAACTAAAATTGCCAGGGCTTGCACACTGGCAATATCTGTGCATTTAATATTTCCAAGTGGCTTCCACAGCACTGCCGCATGGAGAGTGCGTGAGTGCAAGAAGTGAGTTCTTCTGGTAGCAATTACTTGTAAGCATTGCTGTCATTTTGGATACTGAATGCTTATATCGAGTGAGGTGCTTCTTTCTTCGAGTTAAATGTTTACCGGCTTTAGCAGAGGCTTTTTGTTTCCCTTTAGTTTTATGGATACTTATCTCAGCAGCAAAATATGATGCAGGATTATGTCAGAACAGGCACGTACCAGCGAGCAATCCTGCAGAACCACAGTGACTTTAAAGACAAGGTAAGGGGGTGGAGTCTATTGGCACTTTCTGAGTGCATCCTGTATTTGTGATGCAAGCAGTACAGGCACCTCCTAATAATCCAGAGTTCGTGAAAGGCAAGACCAAATGTCTGCAAGTTTCACACCCAGGCTGCATTTCTTCTGTGTTCAAAATAAATGCTATCTATTTCGCATATTTGAAAAGTGGTATAACATGTGAGCATTTGAAAAGCAGCTTATAACATTAAATTTAAAAATAGATGTGGCCTGACACCCATGGCAAGGGTCCTGAACTGAATCCTAAGAAATTCTGTCTGTACACCACCGCTGGGCAGTGGAATTCCAGGGTCAGTGAAGAAATGTTGACTAGGTCAGGACAGGTCATAGAATGAAATCTTATGCTTAAATGCTTCTAGCTGGCTGGCTTGTTCTCTAATATGAGGACACTGTGACATAAAATCTCTGGGCACTGGAACTGCCTCCTTCAAAGATGGAAATATTCCACACTTTAGAATTTTGCAGTTGGTTTGGTTAGAATTTGTGTTACATACTAACTTCCTGTTATACAAATATTTAATGAATTTACAAAGTCATTTGGGAGGAGGGAGAATTTGCTTGTGCTTAGTGACTTGACTATATGTCTTGTCTGTTCACTTTCCCCACCAGATTGTATTAGATGTTGGCTGTGGTTCTGGCATCCTGTCGTTTTTCGCAGCACAGGCCGGAGCAAGAAAAATCTATGCAGTGGAAGCCAGTACAATGGCTCAACATGCAGAGGTCAGTGATGTTTCAAGGCTTATGGAAAAGCCTCTGGGGATCCACCCATACTTAGGTCACAAACGCTGACATTTTGCAGCTGACAGGACAGTTTCCCTTCTCTTCCTTGTGCTGCTCTATCCTTATAAAGAGAAAGTGGTGTTGATTTAGGCATTGAGAAGAAACTAGGAATCAATGCAAGGGTGGAATTAATAATCTTTCCCCCCATACAATCAGTTTGCTTGTGTGCATTTTTTTATTTTTTTAAAACAATATTTATTAAGTTTTCCAAATTAACAATCCAATAATGGCCACATTAAAAACATTCTGAATTATAAAATAATCAAACAGTCCAAATATTAAGCCAAATCATAAATCTTTGTTTGACTTCCCATGCTCTTAGCTCCTCCGGCTTGTGTGCATTTTATATGATGATCTGGCTCAGATTATCTCGAAGGTCAAGATGGGGAGAAGTCCAGAGGAAGGTTTTGGAGCACACGTATGAAATTCACTTTGGACCAGCCTAACCTACTTCACAGTCTGGTTGTGAATATACTGTAGGGAACGTCCCATGTTTATAGTACTGAGTTTTGTGGACGCATTTCCAAATTTTCCACGTTTCCAAATTTTCTCCACAGCCATTTTGTGAAGGTGGGATTGTTATTTCTGATTTAGCATTGGAAGTGATGTCTCATCAGAACGGGGCTAAACCCAAATTAGGCTGATTCTGCACATGTCTAAAATGCTGGTGGGCCTCTAATTCATTACTTCCTCTGAGCCATTTTAATCCTTGCTGCAAGTTTGCAAATAAAAATAATAATAATAATACCCTGCCCATCTGGCTGGGTTTCCCCAGCCACTCTGGGTGGCTTCCAACAGAATATTAAAATACAATAGTCTATTAAACATTAAAAGCTTCCCTAAACAGGGCTGCCTACAGATGTCTTCTAAAAGTCTGGTAGTTGTTTTTCTCTTTGACATCTGGTGGGAGGGCATTCCACAAGGTGGGTGGCATTCTGTTCCAAGGAAGATACAGTGGTGCCCCGCAAGACAAATGCCTCGCAAGACGGAAAACCCGCAAGACGAAAGGGTTTTCTGTTTTGGAGGCGCTTCGCAAGACGAATTTCCCTATGGGCTTGCTTCGCAAGACGAAAGCCCATAGGGAAATCTCCGGGGACCTGTTTTAAATTGCTGGCGGTCGGGAGCAAAGACTTTCGCCCACAGCCGGCCTTCAGAAGAGGTCCTGGACCTCTTCTGAAGGCCGGCGGGGGGCAAAAGTCTTTGCTCCCCCCCGCCTGCCTTCCCGGGACAGCGGAGACTTCTCCGCTGCCCTGGGCGATCTTAAAATGCTGGCGGGCGGGAGCGAACGCTTCGCTCCCGACCCCCAGCATTTTAAAATCTTTGGGCGAGTGTCTGCAAGCCTCGCGCACCCGGCAGGAGGTCCCGCCGGGTGCGCGAGGCTTGGGGCGGCAGCCTGTCGCCCGAAGCACGGGGAGCCCTCCGGAGGGCTTCCCCTGCTTCGGGCGAGTGTCAGCAAGCCTCGCGCACCCGGCAGGAGGTCCCACCGGGTGCGCGAGGCTTGGGGCGGCAGCCTGTCACCCGAAGCACGGGGAGCCCTTCGGAGAGCTCCCCTTGCTTTGGGCGAGTGTCTGCAAGCCTCGTGCACCCGGCAGGAGGTCCCGCCGGGTGCGCGAGGCTTGGGGCGGCAGCCTGTTGCCCGAAGCACGGGGAGCCCTCCGGAGGGCTTCCCCTGCTTCGGGCGAGTGTCAGCAAGCCTCGCGCACCCGGCAGGAGGTCCCACCGGGTGCGCGAGGCTTGGGGCGGCAGCCTGTCACCCGAAGCACGGGGAGCCCTTCGGAGAGCTCCCCTTGCTTTGGGCGAGTGTCTGCAAGCCTCGCGCGCCCGGCAGGAGGTCCCGCCGGGTGCGCGAGGCTTGGGGCGGCAGCCTGTCACCCGAAGCACGGGGAGCCCTCCGGAGAGCTCCCCTTGCTTTGGGCGAGTGTCTGCAAGCCTCGCGCACCCGGCAGGAGGTCCCACCGGGTGCGCGAGGCTTGGGGCGGCAGCCTGTCACCCGAAGCACGGGGAGCCCTTCGGAGAGCTCCCCTTGCTTTGGAGTGTCTGCAAGCCTCGCGCACCCGGCAGGAAGTCCCGCCGGGTGCGCGAGGCTTGGGGCGGCAGCCTGTTGCCCGAAGCACGGGGAGCCCTCCGGAGGGCTTCCCCTGCTTCGGGCGAGTGTCAGCAAGCCTCGCGCACCCGGCAGGAGGTCCCCGGAGCTTGCAGGGCGGGAGGTGGGAAGAAGGGCTTTTTTCCCCACCGCCAGCCTTCAGAACAGCCTTCTGAAGGCTGGCAGTGGGAAAAAAGCCCTTCTTCCCCCCCCCCAGCCTTCAGAAGAGGTCGGGGGACAGACTGTCCCCGGACCTGGTCTGAAGGTGGTTTCCCTAGGAACGCATTAATTGATTTTCAATGCATTCCTATGGGAAACCGTGCATCGCAAGACGAAAAACTCGCAAGAAGAAAAAACTTGCGGAACGAATTAATTTCGTCTTGCGAGGCACCACTGTACTCGGGATCCCTTTAAGCTATTCAAACTAGTTTAGCATTTAGGAATGCTCCTTGTATTTTGCACACATGGCAGGAACCTGCGTCCCTTCTGATGCACTAGACTGAAGGGATAGCTCAGTCGGCAGAGCACGAGGCTCTTAATCCCAGGGGATTGAAGCCCCACGTTGGGTAAAAGATTGCTGCATCACAAGGGGTTGGACTAAATGACCCTCGGGGTCCCTTCCAACTCAACAGTTACATGGTTCTACTTTTTGCTTTTATTTAAAGGAGAAAATGGCAAATTGTTCACATGCGCATCCTTCAACTGAGGGCTGATTCAGACTTCCTTTTGCTCCAGGCACAGGTGGCGCTTTAAAGCTCCATATCCGAGCATTGGTGTTTGTTTGTTTTTTTGTTTTGTCCTGGCACTTTCCCTAGGAAAGCCCACATTTTGCCTGAAATGAAAAATCCGATTGCCATTTGCTCTGATTCAGCAGTAAAACGGGTTTTCCCAGGAAAAGCACTGGGACAAAAGAGCACACGCTTGGATACAGAGCTTTAAATCCTGGACAAAAGAAAGTGTGGATGAGCCCACAGATACTACATATGTTTTTTGTATTGGGATATCTCTACCCAAGTATAAAACATATCTGTAAGACGCCAGGTGTCTGAAACTGGGGACTCTTATCATGGGGTCCCAGGTGCCCTGTACATGCTGTCAGTGTTTGAAACTCCCATTGTTCTAGATGCATTTTGTGACAGGGAATTTCATTAGCGCGAGCAGTTTCTGAGCTCTGGTTGCAGTACCTTGCCTAAGATTTCCTAGTAAAACTGCAGAGTGGAAGGAAAGGAGGACCTTTTCCTGCCTCCCCACTTCCAACTACTCCCTGTAGACTGGAGAAGAGACCCTCTTAAGAATATTAGGGGGGTGGGCACTAGACCATATGAAAAGTGAACATAATATTTTAGCTGCAGTTCATTCATTTTCAGCTTTGTATTCTTGTTATTAAAAAGTGTGCCTAGACATTGTGTTTCTGCACCCATAACCTAGGTTTTAAGGTGCCATTTAGCTCCTAGCTTTTATATCTCAGTTTCTAACACTGCACACTGGCAGCGATCTGGAACTGCAGCACCACCTCCGCTGCTGGTCCAAAAGATTGTACTGCAGCTGCTACCAGTCCAGCAGAGAGCAGATGACAAAAAGAGTCAACAAAGCATCTGATTCTGGCCTGACATCTCAGTGTGAGGAATTCATTGCTTAAGTTCAAGATGAACTGCTTAGCCACCTGCTGAACTTGTTTCCATGTACCCAGTCCTGACAATGACATAGGCAGCAGCCCTGAGTATCTATCTACCTGTCTGGGATAATATTGTTTTTGGTATACAGTGGACGTTCGGGTTGCAAACGTTATCCGTGGGGTAGGCACGTTCTCAACCTACAGCTTTCGCAACCTGCGACCTGTGCGTCTGTGTACGTGTGGGTTGCGATTTGGCGCTTCTGTGCATGCGCCGAAACCTGGAAGTAACTTTCGGTACTTTCGGGTTCGGTGCAGTGCACAACCTGAAATCGTGCAACCTGAGGTATGACTGTACTGTTAGAGAACGCCTTAAAAGTATCCACCCCTTTCTCACAACAGATATCTAAGGACCAAACAGGTGGGGAATTTCTGTGAGTGACTGGTCTCTTTCTGATTTCCTCCCATGATTTCCCCTGGAACAGGTTTTAGTAAAGAGTAATAACCTCACTGACCGGATCGTGGTCATTCCTGGGAAGGTAGAGGAGGTCTCCCTTCCAGAACAGGTGGACATCATTATTTCTGAGCCAATGGGGTACATGCTTTTCAATGAACGTATGCTGGAGAGCTATCTGCATGCCAAGAAGTATTTAAAGCCCAGTGGTAAGTGACTTCCTCTTGCGCCGGCGGTGCAGTGATGGGATTTGGGTGGGCAGAAGAGCTTTTGTCAAGGCTTCTTCTGGCACACTAAGCCAAAATGGCACTGGGTTACGCAATAAGCAAGTGGTGCTTCAAGTACCTGCAGAATAATATTTTAATATGAAGGGAGTGCATTTTAATACAGCAATAATCTTACAGGATGCAGGAGGTGACCCTACTCTGTTTTGCTCAATGTGACTCTCCTCTGTCTGCCTTAGATGCTGGTGAAGGAAGAGTTGGGGACGACCTGGTTTCCTGTTCATGGTTTAAACAGGGGTTCACTCACCTTTTGATGCTAGTATAAAGTAGAGGTGGGCCAAAGAGTGAAGGATTAGGAAGCCATGCGAAGCTTCTGTATGCCAGTGTTTATAGCAGGGGCTCGTATCAAAAAGCCTTTGGTTTAAGAGAAAGCTGTTCCAAATTCACTCATGCAGCAGAAAGCATAAAAACTGGCAGGTTAAGGCACCTGTCTTAATTTCTGCGGTTTGTAAGCACTAAACATGTTCTGTCATCTTGCATGTGGTGCTCACTTACAGCATAGGCTTCATGCACTCAAGTCTTTTCTGTTAGTCTTTCAGCTCTGATTCACTTGTTTTGCAGGCTGGGGCAGCGGTGAATCTGGCGTCAGTGGTGTTAAGTCAGTATTTAATAAGATACCTACCGTAGTTGTTTAAGGGCAGGACAGAATTCAGCAAAAATAAAATTTGCATGCAAAGCCTCAAATCCCTTCATTCTCACAACCGGTCCCTTGCAAAGCTTATTTTACGAAAACTTGATCCTTTGTTGTAATTTCTAAGCTTTTTAAAGTTCCGACAGCATAGTATGCATCCAGTCCTGTGCATTTCAGGGTGGAGGGATGTTGAAGCCCTACCCTTCCTGTAATGTAGTGGATTGGCTTTAGTGGACAGCAGGGAGTACAGCAAGGTGCACATTGAGACCTGAAACTTCTCTACAGTGTGTGTGTATATGGGAGGGAGTGTGTGCTTGTGGGGGGAGTTCCCCCCCCCAACCCCAATCCATCTTGAGGAAGAGGAATTTGGTTTGGATGATGCCTAACGGCACACATCCGCCAAGCCCAATTTCCTCCACTTTGCCCCACCAGACTAAAGGGAAGCAAGCGGCAGGCTCCACTATGCCGATGCAGCTCTTCCCTCTCCAAGCAGGCTTCAGTAGCACAACGGAGCGTTCACTAGGTAAGTCGCCCACAATTCTCTCTTCATTGAGTAAAATGGAAACGTTTTAACTTAGCAAGTTTGATCCTACACAATGGATTTTTCGAAACCAACAAGGGGCGCCCCCTAGCAACGTAAACATGCATTTTGGGAATTCTTTCAACTTCCAAAAACAACAACATCTAAGTAGCCAGAAGCAAAGGGCCTTCGTATCCAAATTCCTAAACTGCTCAAACTCACCCTTTTACATCTGGTAACTTGTACACCTGAGCTAAAAAAAGAACACCCCCCCCCAAGACATATCATAAATCAATCCTTCAAGGAACTTGTGGGACCTGCAAGAAGGTGTTGCAGTCTATTACTCTTCCCTTTTTTGATCCTCAGGGCCATGTGGAATGGGGGCTGGAGCCAGTGATAAGTGGGGCTTGGATCCAATCTTCCCTAAAGCAGGCACAGCTTTCCCTTCTCTCGTGCACTATCTCTCCCCTTTCCCTCCCCCTATTCTCAGAGCATCAGGGTGGGAGGAGAGAGGTTTAAACCTTTCCTCCCAGCATATTGAGATCCCATTGTGTGAGGAGTTTTCCATTTGGTGTGCTTCCTCAAGCAGCTGGGCAGTGGAGCAGGAGTGCAGTGTGCAAGGCGATCTCAGCATTCCTATTGTGTGCCTCCCTCCCCTCCACTTCTTCACTGACCAAGCAAAGTGTTCTTTGGCACCAGTCAACTGCTGGGCAATGAAGAGGGAGCCTCTGGGCTGCAGGTTGCATGGGTTTCCCATATGTGCCCTAGAGCATTTGTTCCCAATTGGTGGTCCTTGCTGTGGATCCCAGGGAGTCCGTGGCACCATTCACAAAACAAAAACTACTATAGAGATAGGAGAATTTTCAAAAACTTGGCTTTTGAAAAACGGGGAATCCACAATTGAGAACCACTACCCTAGATCAAGCGTGGGCAGACTTCGGGTTTGACAGATCTACTTTGTGGGTTTTTTACTTGATTCCTGAAGTTTGTCCATTCGAGCTAGATACAAAAGACATGCTGTTAGAATTGAACCACAGGATTCATCTGAGCACATTCAGATCCTGGGAATTCGTTCTCAGTATTATTATTAATTATTGTTAAATTTCTATACTACCCTTCATCTGAGGCTCACAGGGAGGCTTAGAATATAAAAACACAAAAATACATAACCTAGTAACAAACAAAAACAATACCACCCCCCTCTCCAGTACCTGAACTAAACTGACCTCTCGGTAATTTAGCACAAAAGTTACTCCAGTTTAGCGTTCTTCATTTTGGCCACTGGTAAGGTAAAACAACTGGGAGTCAGGAACGCTTGCTAATCTATTACAAACCATCCAGTGATCTTCTGCCCACCCCTGCCCTCAAACACTGCAGTTCAGGGTCCAGCCAGCCTTAAGTAGGAGCCTCCTAGTGTTGGTTCTCTGTAGCACTATAGAGGGGTTAGGGTCATGGCTAGCTTCCTGTTCTAAACCTGAGCATCTGAGTTGTATTAGCTGGGGTGGCAGTGGCTCTGGAGAAAGTGAAAGAGAAAAGGCTTTCTCCATTCCTTCCTTCTGAAATGTCCCCATATAGACAGGGAGAGGAGTTCCATTAACCGTATAGCACCAATGGGTGCCCCCTGCTCCCAACACTACCTCAGTCCAGTGAGCTTCAGCAGGCCAGTTTCCTCTCTCTTTCCTCTGCCTTCCATTTTCCTCCCTTTTTACTCAGCCGACATCCTAACATTCTGTGTTTCAGATGTTTCCAATCCACCAGCCATTTTCTCCCCTCTTTTTTTGTGGTGGGCACCATAACTGCTCTCAGTCATAGACTGCACTGATAAGCACTCAGCCTGCTCCATTTCTAGTTCAAAATGGCAAAATCCAGGTTATTTACATAGTCATGGTCCTTCCACCCTGCTCCCCGAAAAGCAACACAGACAGGAGGTCTTGTTGCTGTTCAGTGCAAATCTGGAAGTTCACTCTTCAGATAATGAGTTACTATTTTCTTACCTCTAAGCCATCGGTCCCAGAGGCTCACAGGTGCTTGTTGTGCACTTTGACTTAAAAAAAATATTTTTGTTTAATTTACAAATTAAGTTGCTCAGGTGTATTGTACCCACTGCCTTTTTCTTGAATGACCCCATTTTGCTTCCAGACTGATCTGCACTCAACCAGCCAATTTTGCTACTGGAAGGAATTGCAAAATTTTCATGCTTTATAATAGTAGAACAATTAAAGGTGGTCACGCCTTGATTTATAGAAACGCTCCCTCTATTGGTTCTATAATTAGCAAGGCATCATTGCTGGTGTTCATCAGAAGCTTGGTAGAGGCCGAAGGATGATGCTGACAATGGAAGCATTCCCCATAAAAACAGTAGATCAAATAAAAACCAGTTTTAAAGAGAAGAAGCTATGCGGAAAGTGAATAATAAAACCAGTTTTAAAAACCAGTTTTAAAGAGAAGAAGCTATGCGGAAAGTGAATAATAAATGCACCGCTAGGAACAGCCGCCATCATTTGAAACAGGCACATCTTCAGTGGGCTCCTGGTGAGGTGATACAGTGGGGCAGTGGTCAGGATTGAACTCGGTGAATTCTGTGGGAAGGTTGTGGCTGAGGTGCTGTTGATTTTCTTCAAATGCTTGTGGCAGTGACTCAAGGTGCAGCAGTGTTAAGGAAATTAGTGGTTTGAAGGCATTCATGGTGCCACTTTAAATAAATCAAGATTTGATTCAATAAATCAAGAACAGATTTATTATTAATGACAGTTTTGTTTTGTAAATCTCACTCTACTTTTACCTGCTGCTCCTATCTCTTTTAACTTGTTTCTATTTTACTGTCTTCCCAATTTCTTTTTCTTTTTAACCTGATCAATCCTAACTGCCATTCTGTCTGATTTTTAACCTGTTCGTTAATTTTTTTCCAGATCTCTCCCCCTCCAAATCCTGAAGTTATCCACCTTGGGGTTTTTCTTTGTTAAAATTGGAAGGAGACCATAAGTATATTTCTGTAAATAAATAAACTATGTCCATCTTCCATTCAATTTCAGGAAATATGTTTCCAACCATTGGGGATGTCCACTTAGCACCATTCACAGATGAGCAGCTCTACATGGAACAATTCACAAAAGCTAACTTTTGGTAAGCCACTTTTCCTAGGAAGCAGACTCAGGTTTGGGTAAACCTTACCTTAGCAGTCCCATCTTTCCTAGTCTTCTAGATAGCAGTGAAGAACCTCCATGGTCCTCTGCAGTGTAACTGCTATCTTTCCAGTATTGGTTCTTTGGGAGGAGACTGGTATTTGAAACCTCACATTGGTGCATCCTTGGATACCCGGACCCTCCCAAGTCACCCAGCCTGCTGTGTTTTGTCTTGCAGGTATCAGCCATCCTTCCATGGGGTAGACTTGTCAGCACTTCGGGGTGCAGCAGTAGATGAATATTTCAGGCAACCAGTTGTGGTAAGTCTGTCCTATAATGCTGACATCATAATAGTAATAGTAGTAGTAGTAGTAGTAGTAGTAGTAATTATTATTATTATTATTATTATTATTATTATTATTATTATTATTGATATCCCGCCCATCTGGCTGAGTTTCCCCAGCCACTCTGGGCAGCTCCCAATCGAGTGTTAAAAACAATACAGCATTAAATATTAAAAACTTCCCTAAACAGGGCTGCCTTCAGATTTCTTTTAAAGATAAGATAGCTGCTTATTTCCTTCACATCTGACGGGAGGGCGTTCCACAGGGCAGGGGCCACTACCGAGAAGGCCCTCTGTCTGGTTCCCTGTAACCTCACTTCTCACAATGAGGGAACCGCCAGAAGGCCCTCTGCACTGGATCTCAGTGTCCGGGCTGAACGATGGGGGTGGAGACGCTCCTTCAGGTATACAGGACCGACATGTTGTGGCAAAAGTTGACATTCTTCCTGATGGTGGGAACATGGTGAGGGGAAAGGATGAAATGTGATTGAAAGCTGTCTCTAGTCCTCGGAGCCTTCCAAAGGGAGCTTCTGTCAGAAGAAATTTGAGGGGGGGGAGGTTTACAGCTTTTGGAGTCTAATCACCAAAGCCTGTGTGTGTTCATTAGAGACTAATACCATGTGCTAGCTTGGTTACTTGCTCACAAGTAGCACAACCAGTAATCAGCCCAGTTGATGAGAACCCGCAAGCTTCCAGTCTCCTCTTGATGGCTTGAACACCTGTTATACTTTAATTTTTGAAAACCATAGTGCACCTGACATGAGCATTTTTCTTATATAAAGAGTCATCAGTTTTATGCCTTTGCTGTTGGACACATTTAAACAAAGATGAGATTGGGTGGCCTGTAACTTCTCCCAGGTCTGACTTCTTCAAATGGAGCAAGTAAACACCAGGGAACTGGTATTGCCATCTGAAGGAAGCACTGAGCACTGGGGGAGTAGAGTGTCTTGGTTCATGCCACTGTTTTGCATGGAACAGCAAGGCTAGCAACCATGATGCTCATCTCTGCTTACCTCTTAGGGTGGCAGGGAAGAAAGGCATTGTTCTGTTGTATGGCATAATATTCACAAGCATCTTCTGGCCCTCAGAGTAAGTTAGTAGTCTGTTGTCTGTCTTCTTTACATTTGTCTGGGAGTGGAAGTGAGTGGAGAGCAGCTCAGACTTGTACTTTTCCACTTCCTGACCCAACCAGAGGTTTTCATTTATGTGCTTCTCTTCCCAAGGACACCTTTGATATCAGGATTCTAATGGCCAAATCTGTTAAATACACAGTGAACTTCTTAGACGCCAAAGAAGCGGATTTGCACAGGTATGTTATCCCCTTTATAAGAGACAGAGGGATAATCCAGTCTGGCTCCCAGCTGTCTGTTACACAGGGTTGGGAGAAGCCAAAGTTATTCTGTTTCTGTCCTTAAAAAAGAAAAGAGAAAAAGAAATTGTGTCTGCAGTACATGCCAGTGTATGAGTCTTCATGAGTGTATTGTTACTGTTGTGTGGCAGAGCCAGATGAAAGTAGCCTGGCAGTCTTTCCTGAGCCATATTTTGGTCCTGCATAGGAGCCCAGTCTTCTTCCCTTGATCCTTTAACCAATTAAGGTTCGCTAGAAACAGACTGGTGGCTTGATGCCTGCTTTGCTTGCAGGAGACCTCAGACTCAGGGGTCAGGATAAACAAAAATGGGCTGAGATGGTATAAGAATTCCAAAATCAAGAGGGCCAACGTTTAAGAACTGTTCGAGTTGACTTCCTGTTCTTTGTGTTTTCTATCATCCATCACTCTGCTTGTTGAGGTTTCAGGCCATGTCTGCTGAGGCTATTTATGGTTCATTCAAAAAATTACAACCTGTTTTTGAGGGCACACTGTCCAACGAAGGGAATTTTAAGTAAGGTTTTAAAATAAATCAAAATAACAACAGTTTAATCATTAACTTAAAACCACCAGCAGCTAAAAGTCTTCTAGCATAGTAAATAGATCAGACACAGATTAGAATAAAAATCTCTTCAGAGTTTTCCTAAAAATCAGCAGTGACAAAGCCATACATATTTCTCTGGGAGTTTCAAACATGGAGAACTCTCAGTCTCTGGTTTCCAACAGTCTAACCAGTCTTACAAGTTGGTTAGAGAGCAGGGCCTCTGGTCTTAATTCTGGTACTGTCTCACGGGGAGTCTCTTGTTTTGCCACTTCCTATACAAAAAAAACAAAGTAAAAAAACCTTCCTCAAGTCAATGGAGTCTTGTCTTAACTATTTCCCACCCACATCCAGGTTGGGCTTGTTTCTAGAAGAAGGCTGTTGAGCAATGACAAGATACAATCGTCTAGTGTAGAATGACTATGCATAGTTCTTGCATGTCTCCAGTCTGTATCAGCGAGGTGGTTCTTATCTTTTGACCTTCTGAAAATGTGAATGTCCAAAATTTATATTCAGGTTAGAATGAAAAAAGCAAAAAAACAGTACCCTTAAGAAAGCAGCCACACGCTATTGATTAGTGCAGCTGGAGAAAGTGGCAGCCACAGCCTGATAAGACCCAACTTAAAGGAAGATCTTAGATGGGCTCTATACGAGACAGAGGCAGTCTCAGATTTCCAGCTACATACATACATAGGTAAAGGTTAAGGTACCCCTGCCCGTACGGGCCAGTCTTGACAGACTCTAGGGTTGTGTGCCCATCTCACTTAAGAGGCTGGGGGCCAGCGCTGTCCGGAGACACTTCTGGGTCACGTGGCCAGCGTGACAAAGCTGCATCTGGCGAGCCAGCGCAGCACACGGAAACGCCGTTTACCTTCCCGCCAGTAAGCGGTCCCTATTTATTTACTTGCACCCGGGGGTGCTTTCGAACTGCTAGGTTGGCAGGCGCTGGGACCGAACAACGGGAGCGCACCCCGCCGCGGGGATTCGAACCGCCGACCTTTCGATCGGCAAGCCCTAGGCGCTGAGGCTTTTACCCACAGCGCCACCCGCGTCCCACATACATACATACATACATACATATGTGCACATACATGCACGTGGGTGGTGCTGTGGTCTAAACCACTGAGCCTCTTGGGCTTGCTGATCAGAAGGTTGGCAATTCGAATCTCCGCGACGGGGTGAGCTCCCGTTGCTCTGTCTCAACTCGTGCCAACTTAGCAGTTCGAAAGCACATCAGTGCACGTAGATAAATAGGTACCACTGTGGTGGGAAGGTAAATGGTGTTTCCATGCGCTCTGGCTTCCGTCACAGTGTTCCATTGCACCAGAAGCGGTTTAGCCATGCTGGCCACATGACTTGGAAAGCTGTCTGTGGACAAATGCCGGCTCCCTCTGCCTGAAAAGCGAGATGAGCACTGCAACTCCATAGTCACCTTTGACTGGACTTAACCGTCCAGGGGTCCTTTACCTTTACCTTTTACTTTGTGCTGACTAAGAGGAAACCATGTGACTGCGAGGGAGAGGGTGAATTCATGTGGCATCTCCTCTTGTTTTCCAGGATAGAAATCCCGTTCAAATTCCACATGCTGCATTCAGGTCTAGTCCATGGGTTGGCTTTCTGGTTTGATGTAGCCTTCATCGGTTCAATGTAAGTGGTGGCAAAAGTGCTCTTTCCTCCCATCAGAACTTGGATTTTATAAAACAGATAACTGATTATCACTCCTACACTGCAGTAAACTGGCAAGTTCAAATTAAATTATCTTTTGACTTGTGTCCTTCGGTAGATGAATGTAAATATGTTTGTTTAACTTGGCAGCAGGGAAACATATTTAGAAAAAAACAGCCCTCAGGATAGTAAATGGAAGCTTGCATTTCTTCACAATGCTAGATTTGCTCTTGGCTGCACAGTTTGATAGAGCGAACGCTTGCTTGCCAATTCTGATTTTGTTTCTTTATTTAATTCCAAGTCCAATTAAGGTACTGGTTGGTTTTAAAGCTCTTAATTTTTAAAACCCTGGCTATCTTGGGAGAATGCTGCCTCCCATGTGAGATTTTGAGATTATCTAATGAGGTCCTATTGCAGCGACTACCTTTTATGGATGCCATATTAGTTTCAAAACATAGCTAAATTGATTCTGTAATTGTCTCAAAGCACTAGAAAGAACTCCCTTGGGATATCTGCTTGTCTTGCTGTGTCACTGTTCTGCAAGCAGACTAAGGTGGCCCTGTTCTGTTGGGTGTTTTGGAGGAGATACTCTCTTATTACACTATTTTTATAGTGTTTTAGCTGTATTTACTTCGTGTGTTTTGTGATTGAATTTTATAGTGCTTTGAGAATTGTTGTCTTCAACAACCACTAGTCCACAAAAGTGACTATAATGATTAGAAGGAAAGCATATCTTCAGTTTCCTGTTTCTGCTAACATAACAGAACCAAAATACAGTGGTACCTCGCAAGACGAATGCCTCGCAAGACAAAAAACTCGCTAGACGAAAGGGTTTTTTGTTTTTTGAGCTGCTTCGCAAGACGATTTTCCCTATGGGCTTGCTTCGCAAGACGGAAACGTCTTGCAAGTTTGTTTCCTTTTTCTTAACACCGTTAATACAGTTGCGACTTGACTTTGAGGAGCAACTCATAGAACGCGGTGTGGTAGCCTTTTTTGAGGTTTTTGAAGACTTTGGTGATTTTTGAAGCTTTTCCAAAACTTTCCCGACACCGTGCTTCGCAAAAAGACGACAAAACTCGCGGAACGAATTAATTTCGTCTTGCGAGGCACCACTGTATCCTCAAAAAGTAACAAGTCTTCTATTAATTGTGGCCTTTCTAATTAAAGTTGGCCCTCATTAATCAAGTGAAGCTTCAGCTAGTTAAAATTTAATCAATTTAAAATTAATTTAAGCACTAATAAAAGTTGACTAAAAGGACTGTACTAACCATTAAAAGCAAGATCAAGCAGGGAAGTATTGACAGGTGCTTCCAAAATGCGCACCTGCCACCAAACTGAACTTTCAAGAGGGACTGACTTGGAAGAGGAAAAACAGGAGCCTTGGTTTCTCTGTGGAGAGTGAAAACAGATTGGTATATGACAAGCCAGGCCTGAGTGCAGCTACTTTGCAGCTGGGGATATGCTGACAGTTGGGAAACAGAGCAATCTGAGAGGGGTAGGATGTGGATTTGTGACAACTCAAGTCCTTGTGTCTAAACATGACTCCCTTGCCTCTCTCCTTCCACTAGAATGACCGTTTGGCTTTCAACCGCTCCGACAGAGCCTCTAACCCACTGGTACCAAGTTCGGTGCCTCTTTCAGTCTCCACTTTTTGCTAAGGCTGGTGACACCCTCTCAGGGACATGCCTGCTCATCGCAAACAAGAGGTAAGCTGAGAGGGGCCAGCTCAGCCGCATGGAAAAACAAGCCCTCTGCAGTAGGTTCTGCAGTGGGTCGTCTAGGGTGTTGTGTGCTGGACTTGAACCAGAGAAAGATGAGTTCAAAGCTATGTGCCAGGCTGATTAAGTTGTTACCAGGGTGGGGGAAAATTGATCATTTAAAAAATCAGATTTTTTTTGGATATAAATCGGATTTTTTGATTTAAATCAGATTTTTAAAATAAAATGCTTTTGGAGGAAAAATATTTCTAAAGCTAGTTTTCTATTTAAGTTACATTATAGTCCAAAGGCTATTCATCAGGAAATAAGGATTTGTTTTAAGTTTTTCATGTGTGCTAAAATTCAGTCTCGGTTTTTAATTTTTTTTTTGTTTAACTACATCAGTTAACAAACATGCATACATATGCTATAATGTTATTGTTTTAGTTAAATAGATTGTTTAAATTGTTATTAAGGAAATGATTATTTTTCTCCGTCCAATAAAGTACAGCAGAAAAGTTGTCCAAATATAAAGTTAACTTATTAAACCTCACAATAATTTCATAATTATCTATGAATTTATACTAGTATAACTAAATCAGTAATTTTTTATATAACTGTAAAAACTACTCTGAAAATTTTTTATTCCAAAAACGAACCCTCATCTGGTTGTAATATTAAGATTTACCAGCCAGAATGATCTTTCTGTAAAAAAATGATATAAATCAAGTCTTGCTGACTAGTGATTTAAATAGTTATTTAAATCGATTTGATTTAAATCAAATTCACCCTGGTTGTTACCTTCTCATCAATAAATAGGGATAATAGTTACTTTCCCAACAGGAAGATGCAACTTACTTCTGGGCTTGTGTAACTTGAATCCAAGCTCAGCCTTCTTGGCTGCTAGCTGTTTTTTTGCACTTCAGAAAGGCCTTGTGAGCAATATTTGCCTGTCTTCCCTTTGCACAGCTCGCTTTAGTCACAGCTGTCATTTTGGTGTTTCACTCTGCTTCGTAGAACCCAGCAGTATGAGCAAGCCCATTGCACTCCTGACATTTTGGGATTTGCCCCAACTTCTCCTGTGACTCACACTATGAAAGAGCCTGAGTTTTAGGCCTTATCTGAGTCCAGTTACACTCCTTCGTGTCTGCTGGCTTATTGCCATTGCAAAGACTTCTGAAAGTATAGAATCAGGGAGGCCTTCAGTTAAAATGAAGAGGCTTATGGATCCATTCATGCTGGTGGCTGCCCCCAAATTATCCTTTTTTGTGATGGTCCCCCAAGTTCTGAAATCACTTCCGTTGATATATCCAGGAAACAGGCCCTCTTAAATGAGCTATTAAAACATTTCTCTTCAGACAAACTGCTGCTAAGATGTTGTTTTTAATGTTCTATCATTGTCACTATAATTTTATTTACACTGTAATATTTTAGCTCTAACCCGCTTAAGAAACAACTTTTGAAAAAGTAGGCTAAAGATCAATAAATTAAGATATCCCTCGTCCAGGTAGAACTGGTAGAACAGAAGGTGAGCTGGCTTTGTTTGAGCTTTGAAGCTTTCTGCAACACTTGGGAAGTGTATGTTGCCAGACTTCTTGCCAGTGTCTCCATCTCCTTTCCCAATAAGTGAGATTCTCTCATCCTCCTGCAGAGTCCTGGTCTCCATTAGAAATGGCCCTGCCGAATTGTCAGAAGGGACTGGGGAGTCCTTTACCAGTATCTCTTCCCCTTCTCTTTCAGGCAAAGTTACGACATCAGTATTGTTGCTCAAGTTGATCAGACAGGCTCCAAGTCCAGCAACCTCCTTGACCTGAAAAACCCATTTTTCAGGTATGTCACGGTGAATCTTACAAGGGTTTTTCCTCCACCTCTATAATAAAGTTGTTGCTTTTTTAAATGTGTGCTTGTGTGAGTGAGGATGCAGTGTGTTTGAGGAACCGCTTTTCAGGGAACTACTTCTGCCTAACTCAAAAGCAAGTCTTCACTGGGCAGACTGGCAGGGGAAGCAAGCTAACTCTTCCTGATTGAATCGTTTTGCTTTCATGACCTGTGTTGGGAGGGATCGGGGGCTGAGTTGGAAAGACACACAGCGATTTCAGGCAAAGCGGGTAGGAAAGGAGCAAAAATGCATTCCTTTCTTACCAGTATATTCAGATAGCTTTTTGCTGGAGAGAGGAAAGCAAGGGGACAGAAAGATGCATATTCCTTCCTATTCCTCCTTTATCTTCTGAGGTGAGCCCCCCAATAAATGTGAACCACTAGAATGTGGGGCCTTTCAGCAAGGCTAAGAGTATAAGAAGCCCCTCTGGATCACCCCACATAATCATCTCACCCAGTATCTGGGTTTCCCTCAGTGGCCAGCCAGATTTTGAATAACTTGCCATCTTCCACAAACCAGGCTACTTCACTGCTCATACTTCGGGAATCTAAGCATGAGTCAATTTCTTTGATGAGAAGAAGGGAGGCATCTCCTCATTTGGGTCCTGGTTTGTTGTAAATCAGATTCTACTGCCTTAAAATATTCACATCTAGTTAGTCCTTGTTTTTATTTCCCAACAACATCTTGCTAATTTATGTTGTGATCTACCTTGAGTGGGTGAGGAAAGGTTAGTGTGCAGATATTTAAAGACATTTGCTCCTGGCCAGTGACTGCTGGAGCCCTAGAAATCCAGCGGCATAGTTGCCTCTCTGCATCTTGCGTTTTGGACAGAGGAGCCCTTAAAACGGTGGCAAGCAGAATAGTTGCTCTTGCTTTCTACTGGTGGGGTGTGATGGCAAAGTCTCTGTGTTGTACAACACGCATCGCCACCTCTTCTCGAATACTTGGTTTAGTTTGAGAGGGTGGCTAAGCTGTGGCCTTCCAGATGATGTCGAACTACAACTCCTATAATCCCTGATCACTGACCCACACTGCTTTGGGGTGATGGGATGGTACTTGGTGGGCTGTCCTTGGATTAAAGTGTGGCAGAGGAATTCTGGCACCAACTTCTTACCGACAATAGCTTTTTGGAGACACAGTATTGTAGTGAGGGTTTGGGGTTTTTTTATGTGTCCTGCCATGTGTGTGTTCAAATTTTCAAAGTCCTTCGAGCTCTACCCTGCAAGAAAGTGAAAGTAGCAGGAACAGCACTGCTGCAATAGGCAACTGAACATTTTGGCATGATTGTCATGGCTATCTATTGGGCAGTGCTCAATACATCTGTGTGAGTGTGTGTGAGTGAGTGATAGAGATATTCTGTATTTTACTACTTGAAACATCAGTTCTTTATCTGCATGAACATTCAGGTAAGCTATCCCCCTGTCTCCTCTTTTTAAAGATAAAAGCAGAATTTTGCTTTGTTGTGTGTTCTTCTCTTAAACCTAAGATGGATGTTTTTATAAAATCCTAGAATGCATTTGAATGCATATGGAAATGTCATATACTTTCATTCAGTGGTCTCTTGGCCCCACAGTATTAGCTTCTCTCTCTATGCCAGTTTGTGTAACCCACTTCATGGATTCCACAAAAGCTTATGCTGCAATAAATTTATTGTGCTTTTAAGTTGCCACAAGACTCTCCTGCTCCTCTGGATGATGGTTGGAAATGGCCCACGATGTCTAGAATGATGAGCCACTGGGGCGCTTTGATCTCCAGAGTATTGACGTTGGCGCTGGTGTTTGTGTGTGTGAGTGAGGGTGTGTGTGTCTGCCTTCCAGGTACACAGGTACAACTCCTTCACCCCCGCCAGGCTCGCACTACACCTCTCCTTCAGAGAACATGTGGAACACAGGTGGCGCCTACAACATGAGCACAGGGATGGCTGTTGCTGGTACTGTACCTTCTTCACTGTCACTCCTGGGCAAAGCTGATGGGTCATCTATGTTCCTCAGTCATTTTGGGTCTGGACAGTCAGGACATCAGCCAGGAGTGCTGGATGCCACAGGGCTCGAGCTTTGCCTTCAGTTTGAAGGTTCACTGAATGGTTTTGGCTGTAAAGCTTTCTCATACAGTAACGTGAGGGCCTGCGGCAAGCAATCTGGTTTTGTTTGCAGCCGTATCTCATCCAATCCTGGTGGTTCAAAGTCCTTTCTGCAGCAGAGCATAGGAACATCTTAGACCCATGTAATCAAAATTGAGCAGTCTGCAGAGGCAAGCATAACAAGTGGGAGGATTTTCTAGCTAATGTCACAGAGTTTAGATTTTGAGTAGCTATGGGGTGATGAAGAGCAAATTTTCTCCTCCAAGGGCAAGCCCTATTGATGACACTGTGTCCATAGCATTAATCAAGCAAATCATTTGCAACTAGAACAGTATTCTTGGGATGTGGCAACTGCCTTTCTCTCTCTCTGTAGAGTTGGCACATGTGTGATGCAGAATATCATACTTCTATATAATCACTATCCTTACAAGAACCTTGGGGTGTTCGTGCCGCTGCCCTTATCTTCCTGCTGGTGGTTCTGCAGTAGATCATTGTGTGGCATGTACACCCTCAGTCTGTTGGAGATTATACCAGAGCAGAAAGAAGCTGTCTCCCTTGCCCCGAGCTCACACATGAAGATGCTCGTACTTACACAGCAGACATGAATTTCCCTTCTCCAGTTGACTGTTTTGATGTTTACTATTTGCTGACTGGAGCACTGAGACTGAGGAGTACCTGTTGCACTGGTGCTGTCAACATTTTTCTGTTCGCGTTTCTTGCTGTCACCTGCAGACAGCTGCCTGTAACCCCTCAGCAGCTTGCTCAATGTTGTGTCTCATTCTGCTGAGCACCTAATGTCGTAACCTTTTAGCACTAGTAAAGCTAAGCAGATGTGGATGAGAGATTGCTGGGAGCCCTGTGTCAGCTGCTTTTTTCAAGGAAGAGTGGACTTGGAGTGTGATTAATATAAGTCTCCTATTGTCCCAGGGGGTACAGCAGCCTGGTGTATGTTTGATGTCTACCCAGCTTCTGTTGGGAGAAAATTTCCCTTTCCCCCAACCATTCTCCTATTGGGCTTCTCTCCGCTGGCCACTGCTGTTCACCCCCTTTGTACCTGTCTGAGTTGAGTTGGCCAACACCTATGTCCCCTCTCCCAGGCACAGCAAATGCTGTAGCCTCCGTCAGTTGCTGAGATGGTTCCAACAAGGCTGCTAGCCTTCCTTGACAGAGAAGATCCAGATTCCATCCACTTCTGTTCAGCTAGTTCTCAAGCAGCAACTCCTTCCTCCTCCAAAGGCAATTTTGGCAAGGCATCACTTTCTCAGGCAACCCAGCCAGACATATAGAAGGGAAGAGAGAACTTCCAAGTACCGTGGAGTGGAGTGGAGTGGAGTGAGGAAGCTCCTCTCTTACTTTTCTGTAAGAACCAGATTACGGCCCAGCTTCACTGCAGCTTTTGCCCAGGAGAGCTTCTGCATGAAAAACCCTATCTCTGCCTGGAACAGCCTGCCCCCTTTTGAAAATCAGCTTATGGGAGGAGGGGTGGTGCAGTGTGTGTGGCTTGGAGAGGCTCATGCGTCTGTAACACTTACCATGTAATGGCCTCTCCTGCCACAACAGTGCTGGGCAGGATGCTTGAAGGTCTAGGTGTGTGTGTCTTGGTTAGTGCCTTCCTCGTTTCTCACCCTCTTCCCTTCTACCCCGTGCTGCAGGGATGCCCACAGCCTATGATCTCAGCAGCGTGATTGCTGGTGGCACCAATGTTGGCCACAACAACCTTATTCCTCTAGGTGAGTTTATCTGCAATGTGGAGCAGATTATATCTAAATGGGAGGATCCTAGGAAACATGAGAGTCAGTGGCTGAGATGAAGGCCCCAGCTCTCAGATCTCCTGAGCACCTGATCTTTTGGGTTTTACTCCTGGCTCAGAGGTCATGAGGAGATCCTTTGCCCTACTTCATCCAAGTACTGGGCTTGTGAATGTTCAACAGGGTATACATGCCTTTGGCCACAGAATTATCTTCCTGCTCATTGTCCTTGAGTTTACCATGTGCACTAAGCCCAATTGCGGGAGAAGAGTGTCTCTGCTGGTTTTAGGAAGTTGGGTTGAATAATTAGAATTTTGGGTTCAGTTCCAGTTTATTTGTATTTCTCTGGTTCAGACATTTAAGTTTTACAAAATGGTTTTAAATAGAACTCATAAGACTATCGTAACTCACTTGCTTACAGTGTAATTCCTATGAAGAGTACACTTGACATTTAACATTCTTATTTGTTCTTAAAACTGTTGCCTGCACTGCTATCCCTCAGAACTCATCAGTCATGTTTGATTCCTGATGGAACAGAAAGGTGCCCTCTCTGTGTTGGGTTATATTCTCAAATAGTTTGAACTGTGCCAGGTTCCAAAAGCAGAAGCAACAAGAGAGATTCAGTAGAGTCCATACCTGATGTTCTTTAGGCCTAGTCTGTGCTGTTGTGCATGTTGGGTTTGGGGGCCTGTGCTGTTGGGTTTGGGGGCCTGTGCAAAGCCAGTTTCAGGAACAAGTTAGAGAACTAGCTTGAGATTGGGGCCTGCTCCTTGTCCCCTTGAAAAGAAGCTAACAAGGGATGTGCAGCAGAGGGTGAGGTGGGAACTTTGCAACTGCCACATAGATGTCAAGTGTAAATCACAAAGAAAAGGCACCTGCCATGGGGAAGGAAAGAAGGCAGGCAGATTGTGTGACTACACTGATAGCAGTTGTTATAGTTAAGCAACCTGCACCACCAGTTGTGATCTCTGTGCATTCACACATGCATAACTGACAAGCTGACATCCCTGAAGGTGGGTGTCAATGTTCTTATAAAACAGAATGCAGAACAGCCTTGCCACAGTTGACTCCTGGGATCATTGATGGGATGGTCATGATGTAGTCCTCTGTGGGATCCCTTGCTTTTGAGCATCAGGAGACCCATTATCAGTAGATAGTAGGCCTTACCCTCCCTGCAGTCTTGGCTCCGAGTATTGTACTTTGTTTTCTTATAGGAATGAATGGCAAACGATTACCTTTTAGGGCAAACACACCAATTGGCATATTCTGGACAGATAAAAACTACTCCATGCCCCTTGTGGCAAACGTGTCTACTCTCATCTGTAACCCCATCCTGGCTTGTTTCTTGGTCACCCTGAATATGAAGGAACTAAGGAAGTTATGAGAAGATGTGAGCTGGCTTAGCTAAACAAGTGCTGGCATTATACTTAAGCAATAGGCATGTACCTGCCCCAGGAAGCTTACACACTAAATGGTGATGGAAGGGGGAGAATGAATGAGAATAAATGTCAGTCACAGCCGATTCATCATTGGAATATGAAACTTTAGAAATTTAGCCATACACACTTTATTTAAATTTGCTGTTTCTTTGCCCTGAGAGAAGTGGTTTGGGGTCAAAGTAAATGCAGAACAACCAATCTTAGAATCTCCCTTCCTGTCTCTCTTGGCCTACTTTTCTAGTGGGTGAATTATAGGTTTTTCACCACTTCAGCCCTAGAGAGGTTGGCCAAGAAAGACAGGAAGCAGGATTCTGGGACTGGCACATCTGCATTTATTTTGTATCTAGTTAAGCTACTTCTCTCAGACCTCGATAATTGAGATACTCATTTTGAACTGGTTATAGTTTGGGGTGGCTGAAGTTGAGTCCAAGGCATCTTAGGCTCGGGTAGTTCTGGCGTCACGAATCAAAATGCCTCTGAATTTGAGATCATACTTGTTTGGAGGTCCAGGTGTTTTATCTCTGCTTAGTAGTTAGCAGCCAGAGGCAGAGTGGGAGAAGCAGTCAGAGAGTGGGATTCACTATGTGTACAGCCTGTTTTTCAGATACTGTTGGGAATGGTCCATCTGTGGTGCATGCTTACAGCTTGGGAGGTGGGGGTTAAGGTAAAGTGAAGTAACTTAGCGCAGATTGAACCTGTCCGTGTTTTTCTTCCTCCTTTTATTTCTTCCTGAGCAGCCAACACTGGGATTGTCAATCACACCCATTCCCGGATGGGATCCATCATGAGTACAGGGATTGTTCAAGGTAAACCTGGTCTGGGCTTTCTTGGAGTTGAGGGGAAAGGATGTGTGTGCCTCTGTTTAGCCTTCTCCTCTTTGGGGGTTTGAGCTGTATGGCCACAAAGGGATCAGGTACTTCATTGGGAACGAGAAAGGTCAAAGGCTGCCATGTTAATTGCAGAGTGCAGTCAAACCTCAGTTGTCAAACGTAATCCGTTCAGGAAGACGGTTCGACTTCCAAAACATTCGACAACCGAAGCACGGCTTCTGATCGGTCGCAAGAGCTTCTTGCACTCAAGCAGAAGCCATGTTGGATGTTTCAGTTTTCGAAAACCAGAGCATTTACTTCCGGGTTTTCGGCATTCGGGAACAGAGCTCTTAGAGAACTGAGGTTTGACTGTACTATATCACCCCTGAAGCTTAAACTAGATATCCCCAAAATGCCAGTGATGTGAACACTAAACATTTATAGCATCCCATTTTGGCATCAAATTACTTTGCTTCGTGATGGGTGAATTACCGTATTTTTCGCTCTATAAGACGCACCAGACCACAAGATGCACCTAGTTTTTGGAGGAGGAAAACAAGAAAAAAAATATTCTGAATCTCAGAAGCCAGAACAGCAAGAGGGATTGCTGCGCAGTGAAAGCACCAATCCCTCTCACTGTTCTGGCTTCTGTGATAGCTGCGCAGCCTGCATTCGCTCCATAAGACGCACACACATTTCCCCTTACTTTTTAGGAGGGAAAAAGTGAGTCTTATAGAGCAAAAAATACGGTAATAGCTGAATTGGGTAGGTGAAGAGATTGACTTGGCTTATTGTGACAGAGGCTTCCCTAAACAAGCATTCACCGTCTCAGATGCATGGACCAAGAAGCTAGTGGGCTATATCATGACAGCTTCAGTCTCCTATCAACTTCAGCAAGCTATTGCCTACAGAATTTCATACCATATCACTTTGCCTCTTGTTTCTGCAGAGTGTGGTGGCCCAAGCTGGTTGAATTTCATTTTTCAACCATGTATGCAGACCATGTAACGCCCAAAAGTAAGAATCTGAATTTATATTGAAACCTGTCAGTTTAGAGTTGCTTTAGCTCCCTCATAGAGGTTCCCAGTGTGTATACATACATACATATATATATATATATATATATATATATATATATATATATACATACATATACACACAGTCATACCTCTTGTTACGTTTGCTTCAGGTTAAATCTTTTCGGGTTGCATCCTGTGACGACACGGAAGTACCGGAAAGGGTTACTTCCGGGTTTCGCTGCTCACACATGTGCATACACTCAAAGTGATGTCATGCGCAGAAGCAGAAGCAGCGAATCACGACCTGCGCAGACGCGGGTTGCGTTCTGTTCATGTTGCGAACGGGGCTCCGGAACGGATCCCGTTCGCAACCAGAGGTACCACTGTATAAAGCTAGTGGTCTAGTGCTCAGAATTTCTATTTCTGCTAGAAACCTGACTTGATTCCTTACATATGAGACTTCTGAACTTTTTTCTTTTTTTCCTGCAGGTTCATCTAGTGGTCAGAGTGGAGGAACATCAAGTGCTCACTATCCTGTCAACAGCCAGTTCACTATGGGAGGCCCGGCCATTTCCATGGCATCTCCCATGTCCATCACAACCAACACAATGCATTATGGGAGCTAAGAGACCCTCACCCCTGATCCTCTGAACTGACAGCACCAGGAAACCAAATGAAGAAGAAAAAATTCCGCCCTGCCCACCTGCCTTCTGCACCTCAGTTTGGCAATTGCTTCTCTGGATTTCTTCCACCCCCTGCCTTCCCCCCCACCCCCCCCAAAAAAATTAGGCTTGCCAGAGATGTTCTGACCCTTGTACAATAGAAGACACCCCCCCACTCGTTCTTTGATAGCAGACTTGTACACTTTTTTATGAAATGTTGGAAACTTCAACTTGCTCAACCATGACTGAGTTCCTGCGCTCACTGTGTCTTACAACCAATCATGTCGCTAGTGGTATCATTCTTCAAATCTTCCATGACTGATCAGCATTAGGCACAGGTTGTAGAGCAAAGCTGCAACAGGGCTTCTCAGCAGCACTGTGGACAGCCCAGCGGCAGCGCTAGTAACCTGAGCCTTCTTCCTTGCTCCCAGTGTTTTGAACGAAGGGGCTGCAGCTGGCTGTAGAGTGGACACAGGCGAAAATCCAGCTGCTGCTCATCCTTCCATCTGTGCGTTGGTTTCTTCCACCCAACCCAACCTCCGGGTTCATTGCTTTGCTAAGACTTAGGAGGAGGAAGTGTTTCCTGCCGCGAGGGAAAAGAAAAGGCCGACAAGCCCTCCTGGCTGGCTTAATGAGGAGTTCTGGCAACTTACTGCTGTAGATCTTGGGCTTCCGGAAGAACATCTGAGATGAGATGGACTGTTGTGCCACGAGTATCTTATCAGCCGGTCTGATGATTGCCTGTCTCGGGGGGGGGAATCTCGATGTAGCATCAAAGGGTTAAAAAAAATTTAAAACATGAATGTACCAAAAAGAAAAAAAAGGTTGCTGGCTGAAAGTGAACAGTTTGTGTATCAGTTTCCTGTTGCTCAGCTCATCTTGACGGCTATGCCCAGTTCTGGCTCCATTTCCACCCTGTTTTCTAGGCTGTTGCAGCTGCTGTCTCTAGTTCATTTTTCTCTTCAGCTGGGCAGGCAGTGGGGACTGGGTGCCAAGTGGCTTAGTATATAGACTTGCCTGCTCCCTGCAGTAGCCACCAGGGACTCTTAGAGTAGATGGTTCTGGCATCTGTTATGGAAGCTCCTTTGTAGTCTTTGTATGTGTAACCTGTAACCATTTATGGTATTTTCTTTCTTTTGTTCCTTTCAGAGCCACCAGTTGGCATGTTCGAAAGGAATTGGCAGGGACCCGTTTTATGGAGGGGGGGGGAGTGTGTTTTACTTAGGCAGTTTCCTTTGGCTCCCAACAGGGGCTTGGTGGGCTGAATTTGGGGGGGAGGGAGGAGGGGTCTTTGTGCAGAAGCTCCATAGTGGCTGAATTGTGGGGTCTACACAGTCAATTGTTAGGTCTGGCTGATCAATGATTTTGTGACTATTGAATAAAACTGGGAGGGTTTTGAAGACTTGTTTACAGTGGCTGGTTTCCCCCACCTCAGGTTTTGCTGTGACTCCACAAAGCTCATTTCCCCTTTCGCTCACATCTTTAAAAGACAAGCCTCTGCTTTTGACATACAGTTAAGAGACTCTCACACTGTGCAAAGGCTGCCTTTAGGACCTCAGACCTGGGTACAAAATCCCTGAGGAGGAAACGCAGTAGTTTTCCACCCATGCCATTAGGTGCTTCTTTCTACCAGATTTTCGGTCACCCTCTTTCACAGACAAAGACAGCATGTTACATGGCTACTTTCGCTGATCCTGTGTTACGCAATGTGGCCACAGAGGACGACAGTGTTGGCTGGGAAAGAAGCTGGGAAAGAGCCACACTCCTCTTAAAAGGCAGTTTTATTTAAATTAGCTTTCCATAGAAAACAAAATCAAGTAGCTAAACTAAATCAAAGTAATCTGAAGTGCTCAACCTCCCTATCATTCAAGCTTCCCTCCAAAGAAGCTCTTACTTCTATTCCTGATCATCTACCCTTACCGAGGATCTAAAAAGTCTCAGCCATCAGCTGACTCTGCTACATCCCGCCGTTACCAAAGATTTAACTGGAAAGGGAACAATAGATAATCACTCCATTCAGTCGCTTTCTGCAGCCGTGTCAGGACTGCAGGCCCATCCTGTGATGAAGGAGCAAAAGGCAGCTGCATCCACCCCAAGTAACGTTTTGTGATGTTAACAGCCAGGCCTTTAAATTTGTTTCCAAAAGTCGGGTTCTTTGCAAATCGGGCACCTTAGTGACATGGCTGGCTGAAGTAGGACAACAAAAGTCTTGAAATGGTGAGGTGATGCAGCTTGGTCCCTGTTCCAGCTCAGGTGTCTCCTTGCCTCTTGGATGGGTGTGCACCTTCCTTCGCCCATGGGCTTTCCCTGAGGCCAGACATTCATGATGAAAGTGTCTGCAACAGAGATTTTAGGTCTTGTAAGCAGGGCATGCACTAAGGGAGAAAGAGGAGAGATGCCAACCCCTTGTTACCTCTCCCAGAAGCACATTGGTTCCTATGCTTCCATTGGTAGGGGTGGGGATTGGGGAGCAGTGGGCGCTTTGACAAAGAATATTTGACACCCAGCGGCAATTTTAGCATCTGTTGCATGCCATACGGGATGGCCAGAAGTTCTTACCAGCTGCCTTTCAAATATGCGAGGTGGAGTGGTTGGCCGGGTGAGGCGGTGTGCTTCTGCCGAAATGAGCAGCTGGCGTGGGATGAGAAGGTGTGCCGCTTGCATTCTGGAAGAAATACAGCTTCAAAGAGAAGAAAATTAATCAGCTGTAGAAATCAAGCAGGCTCACCTTCCTCCACCTAGAATCAATAAGTTAATTTGAAAACTCAGTGACTGCACTTTGAAGAATACTCTGGTTTAATCGAAACCTGAACGCAAACAAGCAAAAGCAAAACCTGCGTGTCTCAAACTGAATACATGACACGTGTCAAATTGTTTTTGGGCTACTTGCCTGCTACCAAGTTAACGGCAAAACAAGGTCCTATATTAAGGGCCGGAGATGCCATATATTCTCTAGAGTTGCCCACTGGGTGTGCCTGCTTCCCTGTTCTGCAAGTTGCTGAGTTTCTGCAAGCATTACCATTTATTTCCCATTTCACTGAGAAACTGTTCAGTACCTGTTTCTTCAAGGTTTAGCTACACGCGCCAAAAATACATAGATTTGTCAGCATCAGGAATCAGGTTTGGAAACATTGTGTAACTGTTTTTCTTGTTACCATCCTAATCCAGTTTGGCAAATGGCAGAAGAAGTATAAATAATACTCCATTCTCTAGAGCACAAAGTTTTCTTCAAGAAACTGAAGTTTCCTAGGGTAGCATAGTGAGATTGTAAATCTGTACATTTGCAATCGGCATGTACTAATAATTGAAATGTACGTGGGAAAACTGGATTCACTTTAGCTGGGTAATTTAATCCACCCCATCCCACGTTAGGCTGGATATCCAGCTATAACTGTTTCCCTGTTTATTAGACGAGAGCTTTGTACAGGATGTCCAAGCCAGCCCTGAGGCATGTGCGTAAGAACAATAATCCACATCCTTGTTGGATCTTGGCTGTGGAGTTTGTATTGACACTACCAAGGTGGGGCCAATGAGTTTGCCTAAGAGTTCCTCATTTAAGTTCAGTGTTGCAGGCAGAATGTGACTAATCCAGAGCACATTTCACTCCTCTGTCTCAGCCTACAGTGTCATTTCTGAACCTTGAAATGCATGCATGTGAAAAGTCCACACTGTAACGCCAACTGTATTTTTTATAACGTGCCTAAAACTATATGAAAACACAAGACAAAAGTGAAGGGAGTTTAACAAAGGGGAAAAATGGATTGGGGGGGCTAGCTGCAATTTATTTTTCTTACGTTGTACTTAATAGGCTTCGAGGTTTAAAAATATAAAACGAAAAGACAGCAAAAAGCAGATAAACCAAGCTTTTAAGGAATGTTAGACTATTAATACTAATATCTATTAACGTTTGCCTCTCTTCGAAACCCTAAGTTATTCTCAAAGCAGCTCACAATCAAGAGAGTATAAAATGTTTAAAAACCCATTAAAAGCCTACAAATTAAAACTAAAAATATGAAACTAGCAAAAAAGAAATCACAGACAGCCAACAATCCCAATACTATACTGAGTGTAGATTAAGAAACTACCCCCCGTTTTCTCGGGTGGAGTGAAAATATATTTAGGGCCTGCTTAAGATGAGGAGGGAGCAAAACGTATCTCTTGAGGAAGGGAGTTCCATAGTTGAGAGGCTGTCGCTGAAAAAAACCATCTTTTGCACCCTCCAGCCTGACTACCTCGTGGTGAATCTGCAGGCACAGGCTCTGCAGCTGATTTCAAGGCCCAGCAGCCCCATATGGGTAAAATGGCCCAAACTTGGTCCCAAACTGTTCCGGGCTTTAGAAGTTATGATCCGTACTTTGAATTGGGTTTGGAAGCCAACAAGCAGCCAGTGCAATTCATGGAAACTATTACTCCGATATAAGAGCTCAGCCCCTTGCAGGTACCCAGTCTGCTGCATTTTGCACAAGGGCAAGGGTCTGAGCCAGGGGTAGGCAACCTAAGGCCCATGGGGGTCATTTATCTGGCCCATGAGCTGCCCCCGAACTGAGCCGCCCGCTCGGCAAGTCCCTCTGTGCTGTGCTAAACTGGCACAGGGACTCACTTCTGTGGTGCTGAAAATAGCGCCTGCGCATGCTCAGACGCTGAAAATCACATCTGCACAGGCGCCAGAAATTGCGACCCCGTGCGCGCAATCCAGCCCTCGAAGGGATCTCTGCTGGAGTGAACCGTCCCAGGCGAGGTAAACCTTGCTGACCCCTGGTCTGAGCCCTATTCAGAGGCAGCCCCACATAAACAGCATTGCAGTAGTCTGGTCTAGATGTATACAAGTAACACTCCGGGGTCTTACAGACTTCATCAACTTCACTGTTCCAGCCATATTCCGTCATTTACAAATTCGGCTTCTGCTGACACAGCATATACGTTTCCCACTGTGCTGCAAATTAGCGAGCAGCGCCAATATATGCATTAATTACATTAAAATCCACATCAAAGGTGTAGCTTACACCCCAGGGTTCAGGGACCTTCCAGGCTTCTCTTTGCTGCCTCCTTCCTTGACCATTTCCCTCCCCGGATCACGACCCTCCCCAATCTTGCTGCATAATCTCCGTACATATTCTTGTCTGGATTTAACTGGGTTGATGCTTCTAGCCTGCCTGGATAGAGATGTGTCGCATAAATCCGATTTACGTTGTGGTATGGAAAGTCCCAGGGACGCGGGTGGCGCTGTGGGTTAAACCACAGAGCCTAGGACTTCCCAATCAGAAGGTTGACGGTTCGAATCCCCGTGACGGGGTGAGCTCCCGTTGCTCGGTCCCTGCTCCTGCCAACCTAGCAGTTCGAAAGCACATCAAAGTGCAAGTAGATAAATAGGTACCGCTCCGGCGGGAAGGTAAACGGTGTTTCCGTGCGCTGCTCTGGTTCTCCAGAAGCAGCTTGGTCATGCTGGCCACATGACCCGGAAGCTGTCTGCGGACAAACGCCGGCTCCCTCGGCCAATAAAGCGAGATGGGCGCCGCAACCCCAGAGTCGGTCACGACTGGACCTAATGGTCAGGGGTCCCTTTACCTTTACTATGGCAAGTCCCACCCACTACCAGCATGCAGCTTTCATACAGAGAAAGCCCCACCACCCCCACCCCCAGCTCTGGTTTGCAGGTACACCAGCGGAAGAACCAAATGGCTGCTATCTTCAAAGCAAGAGCAATCGTTACTCCTCCATTCACCCCAGGATGTCATCACAAGCGGAGGTCTTTTTGCACCAGAAATGTCCTTCCCATTATATCTGGCAGCATTTCCCCCACGCCTGGTGATCCAACCAGTCTGAAGAAAAGTTCTGATGAGCTC